TCTATTTTACATACAAGTGAAGCGATGAGATATGGACTTACCCGAGGTCAGTCAGCAAGTCACTGTCAGAGGTGGAAATAGAACCCAGGATACTCAAGCTAATCAGTAAAATACAGTTTTAAAATATTGTTATCTAGAACCTACAAAGCTAGAATGGTATGCTGGCTTGTGAGAAAAAAAAAACAACAATCAGGAAAACATTATTTATAAATGGAAGGGCGGGAAGGCATTCTATATACTGAATGCCATAAACAATGAGCACCATGGGACCAACAAAACTATTTTAGTGTTTGTGTGTTGTTGAAAACTTTGCTTAAACACAAACATTGTTAATCAACATGGATTTATAAAATATTTTGTTTGATCAATGAACTCTGCTAGATTTTTAAATGATTGCATGTTTCATATCTGCATGTCAGAACTGAACAGAAGACTTGAGAAGTTATTTTAAAACTTACTGTAATCACACTATTTAGTTGTTTACATTAAGATTTGAGGATTTTCTTAAATAATGAGAATTACATTTTCAAACAAAGGGATTTACATTGTCCTCCATAAATTATGTCCCTCTACATACAGGGAGAGGTTTCAACCAACATTTGCATTCACAATAACAATAATTAGACATATGCATGAGGAAACTATTGTTATGAAAGTTGATCCAAAGCCCAATTAATTTAATGAAATAAAAAAAAACTTCCATTAGCTTCAATGGGCCCATGAATTGTACCTATACTCAACAACAGAATCCAGCTGAAAGCCATATTTTTTCTGTACTATAAACTAGAATAAATAAATAATCAACAAGTGGTTTCTCATGCCTTAATTCTTTCCCTTGCTGTATCCTTAAAAAAGGAATAGTTATACTGTATTATAATTAGTCCATCTGATTTCTTACATATATTTTTGATAAATCCCTACTCTGTTCCAAGCATGTTGTAACTATTTGTTTTTCATGTCTCTCTCACAGCTTTTTATCCCATTACTTAGTATGCTGCAAATTGCCTGTTTCATCGGTGTTCCTGACTTTCTAGATTACATCCTGCTGTTTACACAGCAAAACAAACTATATAGCATCCCAGGGGCCCAATTCAATGCTCCTGTCACAGAATACAAGTGTGTTAAACTGGCAAAAATGGCATTTGTCAGTGCTTTATGATGAGAGAATCAGGCCCGGTTGCAGAGAAAAGGAATTAGACTTCATATTCTCTCCCCTTCTTTGTCCTTATTCTTTGGGAGGCAACAATCCCAAGTCAGGAACATCTCAGATTACTTTTTTGCCTGTTGCCTAATATATAATAATGAAAATTAGTATCAACATTTATACTAATGCATTTAAGCCATTAATCCCTTTGAAGCTACTTTCAACAAGTTTAAGGTTTAAGACAATTCTGTTAATTGCTAGGGCTTACTTGCGTGGGTGTTACCCTGTTTCAGAAATGCCATGCTCTGAAGGATGTGGAAGTATCCTGACTAAATTCCCTGCTGAATTCAAAATTGTTTTCAAAGCAATTTAAAGCCACATTGTTTTCTATTCTCTTGTCATGCTCCATCTGCCCAGTGGAGGTGTAGGATGCTGCTATACCGACAATGAGAGAAACAGAAGTATAGAAGTGCTGCCAGTTTGGAGGGGGATTGTTCACTTCTTGAGAGGAAAGAGTCCCAGGCACCAAAATCCACAGGGGACGGGTGGGCAGGGGAAGATGGAGCACTGCAGCAGCAGGGCTGATGGCTCCCACATTTGGTCACTTCTTGAAAGCTGCAGAAAGTGTGTTTCATTCACATCATGCACAGGAAGGATAGAGGGCAGGAGTGGGTGAAGGACTCTGTAGTAGGTGTCACAGTCAAATCAATTAATATAGCCTTCAGCAGCAGCTGGCAGGTCAGGGAGGCTGTTTCCCTTATGAGACTTGAGAGGAAGCTGAAGATACAGTCTGAAAGGAAATTTTCCTCCACCCCTTGCCCCACTGCCCTGGTTGCAACTTTCTGCATTCCCTTCCTCCCCTCAGACCTCATCCCTCCCCAGTCATTTCTCTGCCCCATTACAGAGCCTTGAACAGTTGAGAGATCTGGAAGCTAAACTCTAAGGCCATATCCAGGTGAGCGTGGCAGTGTGGTATGCGGCACCCCAGACAAGTCTGCAGCACCATGTACTGCATGTTCAGTTGTTCTCCGAGCTGCGAGGGAGCAGCACAGGGGTTTTCTTTCACCACTGCATATCCAGGGGTAAAAGAAAAACCTGTTGAAAAATGAAGGGGAGTGGCATATGAGGGGGCACTCCTCACTGCTCAAAACTGGAGCCTAGACAGCTGAAGCCATGCACCAGCTGCTGGCCAGGATCCAAGCAGCAGGATTACTACCACTGCAACCCCAGGAGGTCCCCAAGACTCCAGGTAAGGCTGCTTGGGCCATCCCAGTGCTGGCCCCAGCCTCTCCTACCCCACCCAGAGTAACCTGCCATGTGCCAGAGGGCACATGCACAAGCATTTCCTGGGGACAACTAGCAGTGGAACAAGGTGTCCCACTGGTAGTTGTCTCCAGAGAATCAAATGTCTGCACTTGTGTGGATGTGGCCTAAGAGGGTGTAAATGGAAAACAAAAAAGAAGTTTGCCAAATTTGGAATTCAAAATGGTACAATTTGAACAGCTCAGTATGAGCTACCACTTGGGAAGATATCCAAGCTCAAGAGTATTTTTTGAATACCAGTGACTCAGGTGGGGTGGGTCACACTCACATGCTGACTCTGTATATGATACAGGTCTCTCTCCTACTTCTACTGTCTAATTCTGCCAATGGCTGGCAGCAATGGATCTCATGGCACAAATATTTTTCTACAGCAAAAAAAGAAGAGACTTTTCTATGTCTAAACTACATCTACAGGGAAAAAGTCCAGTGAAAACTTTTTAAAAACATACAAGAACAGCAGCATAGCTTGGCTAATCTTTAAGGCAATGACATTTTTGCATCACTTCCTTCTTCTAAGTCTTAACACAGTGCAGAAGAACACATGGCTGTACAATACCAGCTCCTAATCTCAGTCACACTACTTCAAATGTTGAGTAACCCTGCTGTCAAGAATGGAGTTACCATGAGTTTACAAAAGTGTAATTGAGAGCAGAAGATGGCTGAAAGCGCAGGGAGAGCTATACACCAATGTACTATGAAATTACCACTTATGCTACTAAGGCTGCCCTCTCAGATTACCACCAGCTTCATCTTTGTTTCTTTTCTTGTACAGAAGCTGAATTTGTTAGGCTCACTAATTTCATGGACAAATGAGCATTTGTACTGTTTACATTGACAAGGATAAATTGAGATCAGGCAGCTGAACAGATACACTCAGAACTGACCTGACAAATGACTGCGGGTTCTGAAGTTTCCTGTTTTATGTTAGTCCATGCTATAATTTAAGATGTGCCAGGACTACAGCACTCAGGGCCACGTGAACAGGCAATGGTGGAAGTGAATGAAGTTGGAGGTGTGTGGAACTGCCCTACCTGTATGAGTACAGCTCCCCACCACACCCCTATTCTGATGTAGGTATTCTCTTCTGCCAAAATAGGTGGACTTGGGGGAGAGGCTTTCTAAGTTTCATGTTCAATACATGTGTCCTTTGCAGGCCACCAGATCACAGCATTTTGTATCCCAAATCATTGCTGGCAGAGGTAGCAGTGACTTCCCCTTAGCTATTTTTCAGCACTGTGGATAGGATAAGTCAATATCAGAAAGGGGGCACATCGTGGAAGCAATGGCAGGGAGCCGAGGGATCTACCTGTATTGAAAGTTTAAGGACCTTCAGAACTGTCTCCATGAAATCTCAGACTCCAACTTTTTGTGTCCACTTGGACTAAAAAAGTCTAGTTCTTTTGTTGGTCTCTCCCCAAAGCAGAGAAGTGGTGTAGCTGATTGGAAGCTTGTCAGGAGCTTTGGAGGTGTCCTTTCTTTTTTCACACTAAATGGTGGAAAGGGAAAATAGTGATGCTGTTTTTTTTCATACCTGTCTACAGCTAGTGATGGGTTTTCCTGTAATCCTGTTCAAGGACATTGCCCATCGTCCTTCATCAGGCCTCTCACCTTACTCCCTCCTCACCTATCCAAAGCAATGTTGTACACTTAGGCCCAAATACAATTTCACCTTCAGGTATCTGAGCTCTCCAAAGCCCTGTCATGCAAAAGTTACCTAGGATCTAAGATAGCTCCTACTTAACCCTGCACAACAAGATTTGTCATTGCAAGCATGTTGAGAAGGAATCCAGAACTGCCACCACTGGTTCTGTTTGAGATTCCAGGTGCCATGTTGGTGTCTTACAAAGTCAAATCAGAATTCCACAGGCCAAGTTTGAGTGTTGCAGAAATGATATGAGGCATGATTTGTAGCATTCAAGATATTGTATTGGATTTGGGTAATGTCCTTAATATAAAAAAAGGGTAGCAAAACTATATTTTATAGGTAGCCCCATTCTTAACAGATACCTCTTGTGAAGAAAAAAATACTTACATCTATATATGAACAAACCCATCTGTTCCATGCCACTGCATGCCAAACAGCTGAGTTCAGTCCACGCCAGTAAATAAGGTTTTGGGTAGCTGACACCAAAAGGTTCTTAGTCTGCAGAAATTCACATCATGATCTACTTGCATGTTAAGCAGAGGAAGTCAGGAATCATGGATCTGTTCTACCCTTCTGTGCCTTCAAAAGATCTTTAAAGAAAAATACACCGCCCCTTTGTATTTTTAGTCTTCTGTGTTCATAAGGCATTTGGGTAGTGAATCCCCGCAGCTAGTGACCAGGGAAATACTACATTCGGATAAAAGGCTGGATATGAAAGACTCATTTCAGAATTTGAAACCATAAAATACTTCTGTGTTTTGTTGAAAAGCGTTCTTCTAACAAAGATAAAAAAAAAAAAACAGGCTGTTTGTTTAGCTTATTTAGTATAAAATAGTCTTGTCAATCAAGAAGAAGCTTCCAGTTGTTAGAATCGTTTAATTAATAACATGTGTTTACTACTGGGAGAAGCACTCTCAGTGTGCTAAGATTTTGTTTGTCAGTCATTCATTGGAGCCTCACTGTTAATAGCATACAATGGCTTGTGGTTATGCCACAATTTAACCCAGGTTTAAAAATACAAACTAGAGCCTTGGTGGTCTGCTGAGAACAGTGAGTGAGGCAAAGGTACTGGTTGAACCTGCGTTGTGGGCTGCTGACTCGGAATACTATACAAGCTACTCAAATTTATTGACTAGAAGCAGGACTAGAATGCACACGGTGGTAAGTGTGTGTGGGTGCACCCAGGTTGGACTACAGCTTGGCTGCATTCTGGAAGGAGGAGGAAAAGCAACTATTTGGCCTCCTTTCCTTAAAGACAAATTGGAAACAGATACCACTAAATAGAGATTTTTTTTTTTGCAGTCTAATAAGAAAAAATGCTATTTTCCTTTGTGATTTTTATTTATTGATATGAAGGATAAGTTTGAGAAAAAAATAACTCGAATTAAAAAGTCAATACCTACCCTGCAACATGAATAAGTATCACCCTCTCACCAAAAATCTTTGCTCAATGCCATCCTGATTTTAATATTAAAGGCTGAATCCCGGGCTCCATGTTAACCAGGACTGACTGAGTACTTTTCCCAGAAAAGGGAGAGGCACTTGGCTACTTAAGAAAAAGAGTAATGGGTAGATATTAAAGTATCTCTGAATAAACCTTGACCTCCTGGCTGGGACATAAAAGTCGTGGTGACTAAGCACTCTCTCTCAATTATGTTCAGATTATGATAGGCTAACATTCCAGTTCACCACCGGGTTGTGCAAAGATTTTAATAATCTGACAAACCTAAATTCACCTCCTGAGGAAATTGTATCCACTTCACCAAAGTACTTTAGAGCATGAGGCATTTTCATGGACTCTCTTCCTGCTTTAGTGCAATAGGAGCATCATTTTTAAATATCAACTTTTGTATAAGGAAATCCCTGCCTTTCTCTTCCTGATAAAATTAATCTTGATTTTTGACCTCATAGAGAGATTTTATATCTAAATTAATCCAAATCATTGGGAGTATAGACAGGTCAGGTAGGTATAGCTTTTGGAATTACTAAATGTTATTCATCATCAGAAATGTAACAGTGCAGCTGCAGTGCATGGGGGCAGCGGCCACTTCCAACTGCCTTCATGCTGCTGCCATGATCATGCAGCAGCAGTGGCAGTAGTTCTCTCCTTCCCCCCTCAAGTCAGCACCTGGGGCAGCTGTTCCCGCCACCCCACCCTGCTGTACATCATCTGGGTCAGTGACAAGTTTTCCATTTGTTTTAATATTACGAAAGTGTTTTAGGGGGTTTGGGCTTTGCTTTTAATCACTTAAGTTAATGAAGGTGCATTCATTGTGCTATGACCAGAGAGGTTTTTTTTCATTAGGCAACAGATTAAACCAAAAACATAGAGAATTTTATTAAGGATGCTGTATTGACTAAAACTCCTATTCTGCAAAGCCCTTTGGCCAAGTACAGACATTACACTTGTACCAGTATAAGTAATTGGAAACCAGTCTGTACCTGTAACAGAACAAAAGTTTGGCATACAAAACCGGTCTATACCCATAACCCATCAGAAGTTCAGCACACATGGACCAGTTTAACCCTGGTCTAAGATTTCCACCCCCCAAAGCATGACTGTGTGTTCTGTTCACTACCAATTTAATCTACACCACTTACAGAAAACCGTGCAATTTAGATCGATTCCACCATGGGCTTTTTGAATGTCTGTACCTAGCCTTTGTGTTCATAACTCATATTAAAGTCAATGAGAATTCTGCATGTGTTAACTTTTCAGGATCATAGTACTATACAAAATTTTTCTCTTCTCTGATCAAAACAGATAGACCCTTGAAAAATTGCTGAAGCTTTGATGGTGCCCACATTGTGTTCGGGTTATGTCTACTTATCCTTTTGAAGGACAGTTCATTGACTTTCTATCTTGATAAGCATTCTTTGTACCAAATGAAGAATCTAACAGCAGTGTGCACCCTGTATAAGGACTGTGCTATACTATATGTAATGCAAAAGAACCTCAAAGTAGAAAGTTTAGTAAGATGGAAGAGAAAGTCCAGAAATAGCTTCAAATCTCTGAAAAGAAGCTTAATTCTGAACCTAATGCTACTTTAAGCATGTTTATAAATCCCATTTAAATCAATTGGATTTGGTTACATGTTTTTGTATTTTGTTGAATCATGGCCCAGGTTGGTAAGATGCCTGAAACTTCAGGTTTGGAGTAAGGCAAAGTGGGGAAGTGTGTGCTTCTGCTGCCTATGCTTTATCTTTTCTGTGGATAAACAGAGGCACTTCTCCAACTGCACAAAATTCACATACGATTTTTTTTTTTTACAACTATCCATATGCAAAGCTGCTTGGCTGTGTCAACTCTACAAAACAGTGTCGGGGTACAATGGGGTGGAGCTGCTGTAACTGAAGCCCAGCGTCAGTATTTACACTTAGATACCACAAGCACTGAATAAAAACCTAAAAGAGTGGGAAACAGGTGGTTCACTGATGGCCAGTATCTGCCATGTTCGACACCCATTCCAAAAAATGTGCTCATCCCTCATTCTGACAGGACTGCTCATGCTTTCCACATCAGGTGCTAACTATTATTTGACCATGTCCTGTAAACTGTGTTCAACCATGGTTGAAGTGATGGGGCTCCAGTGATTACAAACACAGCCGTTTCTGCAATAGAGACCCAGCTAAACTATGCAAAACCATAAACAAACTCTCTCAACCTTCTTTTCTAGACAAAGAAAGTCTTGAGAGAACCACATAAATGGGAAGATGACAGAAAGATGGGGTGGGGAAGGTACTGCTTTATTCTCATGCCCCTGACAATCCATCAATGCATCTGCTTTTGTAATACACCAGCATCTTACCCTTAAGACTGAGTCAAAGAAACCGGCAAAGGGAAGGAAGACCAACCCCTTTTTGTATTCAACAGGTTTTCACGGACTCAAGCAGGGTGGAATACGAATGGACCTATGTGCTTAATAGGTAGAATACAACCCAGTCCACAATGCATAGTATAATGATGAGCATCGTTGATGGAGAGGGACATTGAAGTGTGAGAACAAGAACTAGAGACCATTGCTCACAGACCAGAGATCATACATTTTCTTTTGTTTGTTTCACATACTTGTTCTTTGCTTGTTTGTATACTGCTTACTAAACCATCATAAAGGTGTGTTATGTAAATGACTATATTTTTCCTGTTGTGTCCCTTACTCTCATACAGATATCTAAATACTGTCATTGTTTATTCTCAGCAAAACAGCTTTAGTTTCTTCACAGTTCTGATCCGTAGCCCCTTGCCATTCTACTCCTATACTTCTCCTAAGGAAGAAACACTCTAGCAATATTAAACTATGTGGTGGAGTCTGAGATGCATAACAACCAGTGAGAACAAGTCCACCACATGCACTGCATTTGTACTCAATAAAAACCTCCAGAGATTAACAGAAAGTACAGTCAATACAACCTACCCTGATGCAGGTCACACTGGAGGATGCAGGGCCAGGTAGTCACCTGCCTTCAGAGTGAGCAGTGGGACCAGCCCCAAAATTAGGGTCCTGCCAAGAAGCAACCAGCAGGGGGGTGAGGGTTACATGGGAGGTTGGGGTGGGCAGGGAAGAAGGGGGTGTTTTTGACCCTTGCTGAGGTTGGGGTGGAGATGAGGGTGGACTGCTACAGCTCCTGACATGGTGTTTGGGGAGGCAGGACAGGCCTGGTTTTGCTCCAGCATTTGGGGGAGGGGGGCAGTGGTCCACTATTCCCAGCAATAGGGGATGACCTTGAGAGATGAGGGAAGTGTGACTAAGGCATATTTATCTTCTCACATATTGACTGATGAAGTGTGAAATGCCAAGGCACCTGTTTTCTGTGCCAGAGGAAAGGAGAGGGTGGGGGCATGACCAGTGTTAAACAAAAAAATGGAGCAGATAGCATCTTCAACCCTAAACTTTACGTGGGCAGGATTGGGACATGACACTGCCCGCAATCCTCTTCCCTTTTGGGGTTTTTTAGCCATGATGGCCTGGTATTGGGTTCTGACTGTGGGGACACTCTGTAGAGGCCACATGTCCCATGGTGGGGTGAGGGGAAACAGACCCAAAAGGCACCTTCTGGAGACAATCTCCTGCAGAGGGCTTGGACCTAGTGGGGCAGCATTGCCCTGTTACCACACTTGCCTGCTGTCTTTGGATGCACTCCATCATTAGTCACTACCCCCAGGGGGTGAACATATCCCTCAGTGCTTGGGTCCCCATTATGTCTGTGCAGTGTGGTGTGAGCCATACTTTCCTGGGCAGTGATCGCTCATCAGTTGGTCTCAGAATCAGCACTGGGATTAGGAGGAGGTTTGGAGCTGGTCCTCTGCCACAACCCACATAGAGACCAGGAGATCTAGTGGGAGATGTTGGCACCAGTGAGAGGGGCTCTGAGACATCAAAGGAGCAAGAGCAAGACACCCTTGACCCGGCACAGGAAATGGCATATCTCTGCATGTGTGTTTGCCCTGAAGACCCCTGAATCAGAGGGTCAGGGGTTGGGGAGGAGCGGGAATGGGCTCTTGTCCCAGGCCTGGCTGCAGGGAGGACAGCATGGTATTGGGGTCCATGTTCTGCATGAGTGTGCTGTTAGATCTGTCTTCTGGATTCTCTGCAGTGGGGCCCATGTACTCGCATACCTGCTAGACATCAAGGGAGCTGAAATTCAGTTCCACTGCACCCTTGGCCCTGGTTCCCCTGTATCACTGGGGACTGGCACCAACAACCCAGAGACCCTGGTAACCTCTGGGACCAGCAACAGAACTACTTGTGCTTTGGAGTCTCTGGGGAACAGCTCCTGAGCATCCAATCCCTGTCTCCCCAGGGCCCTCCTATGCCACCTGCCACTGAAGCCCTCCTGCTGGTGGCTGCACCTCCTCCCTGGTGATGCCAGAAGTGCATGGGGTAGTAACAGCCCTATTGGTTGGGAAAAAATGGGACAGTTCCTCATAGAAGGACATGGTGTGCTTTCTGCCACTGGAAGTCTGGTTGGCATTACACATGTGTCTGAATTGGTTCCTTATCCACTTTGATTTTGTCCTGTGCCACATCCAGTCCCTGTTGTGGCCCTGGACTCACATATGTTTGGCAATCTGCTAGGTCATCTCCCTGTTGTGGTGCCTACTGTGGAGCTGCTCCTGAGCAGCCTGCTTGCCCCAGAAGGCAATGAAATCTTTCTTCTCCATGACTCATGTCTGTGCGTGGGGTTGGGTACCAGAGGAGGATGGAATGGATTCTGTCATGGTGTTGGGTGATGCCCATAGAATCTTGGTTTCCACAGGTGGGCAAGGATCTGGCTGTAAAGGTGTGGATGGGTGTGTGTGGGTTCAAGTCCTGGCATGCGGGTCTCTCTTTTACTCCAACTGGTTGTTAATTGAGTCTGCTGGAACATGGCAATGACTGCGCTCCAGCAGCCTCCCACATCTTGTACATCAACGTCCCTGTGCTTAAAAATGACGCCAGGGTCACATGAACTAAAGCTCATTTTTAAGCCAGGGTGGGGGAGGAAAGCTGGTACATGGAGACACTGCAGTGCTTTAATTAGAGCATCCCCCCCACCTCTGGAGCAAGTGTAAAAGAGACCAGAGTGTCTCCCTGCAAGGGAGGTGAAGTGGGACAGGGCCAGCAATTCATGCTGGGATGCTGGAGCAAAGTGGATTAACTTGAATCAATAGGGGAACCATGCAAACATTCATTAGACTGGTCTAGCCCAAGTGGATCTAAACATAGTCCTCGTTGGATGCAACCTGAGTTTAGACCATGCTCACTGTTTCTAGACCACATGTGACAGTGATAAGAGCACTTGCACACCTGTCAGTTTTGACCAAACTAAGTTTGATTGATTGATCTAAATGAAATGTTCATGTACACCCTGAGGCACTAGGGTGACCAAGTAGATGAGCCAGACAGTCTACACACAACTGAGTCCCATGAAAATGCCTGCACTTTGTTCAGACCAAAGGGCCAGATCCTATCCTGCCCATTAGGCGCCAAATGGGACTTAGCTGGGTTAGCTGCTGAATGTGGATTTCCAGCAGCTAGCAGAAGATGCAGTTCCAGAGGTGGTCTCCTAATCAAGAGAAAGAGAGATTGCCTTCATATTCCATATACACAGGGAAAGAATGACCTACCATGCTAGGAAGTTAGGCCTTCCTTAGTCAAAACCCAAGGAAAAAAAGAGAAGTCAAGATTTGAGGTTCCTTGGGTCTACTGAACCCAGTGAGAAGTCTGCCTATGTCACACTAGATCCTACAACTCTAAGCACTGAACTCCTAGTTCAATACGAAAGAAAGCCACACTGAGAAAAGCCTGGTCAATGGGTACACAGCTAGGGGTGGGTCCACCCAGTTCAAAGAGTATATTGGCACCACATGACATACAAGTGACAGTTAACAGATTCTGACAAAGTTTCTATAGTTATTTCTGTAGGCCCATAGGTTTTGCCATATTATGTCAGACCAGTGATACAGATAATCTAACAGCCTCACCCATACACAGGCCAGTACCAGTTCCTCTAGAGGTTTTTTCAGGAAAACCTGATAAAGTAGATTTACAGGAGAAGTTCATACACATGTATTACTAATACCTAGTGACGAGAGAAGATCATAGCGGTGGGTATATAGTTAACCTCAAACAGATGGTAGTTACCTTGTGCCCCAAAGAATGAAAAGTTTCTCTCTTGTGGGCCATATCTGTATAGAGACTTCATAGTCCCTGGCAGGAGTGCCTTCAAGCAGGTTGCACTGCCCTGGGAGGCTTCCCTCCAAAACGGAAAAAAGCATAGCTACATCCATGTAGGCAAGTTAGTTAGCTTGAGAACAGTGATAATTAGTTCACTCCAAGCATCATACAGGACTTGGCTACTTTGCTTCCAATTCAAGAGGCAACCCAGTCTGAGGAGGACAGCATGCCTGAGAATGTTATTACCAGGGATGATAAACTTGATTATATAGTATAGAAATGGTCGAATGTACTTTACATCAGTCTGATATAGCTATGGATATGTTTCTTTAGGTGCAAGAGCATCTAAGCATTTATAAAGCAATGAATAAATATTTCAAGCAGCACTGTGTCAGAAAAAGCAAAAGCAAAATATTTTGGCAAAAATAGATTAAAGTAAATATAGTATAAATAAAGGATATATAGTAGGTACCTATAGAAAGTCTAGGGGAAAAGTGGCATATAGTTAACATAGGTGCTAAAAGCCTACATTCCTATACACAAAACATTTCACTGTGTGATTCTGCAATGTGTCTTCCATTTTGCACATTGTATTAAATTTTATTAGCATTCCAGGAAAAAAAAAAAGACTAGTTTCCATAGCCAGAAAAATTGTGGGTCATTATAGCCATTTTCCAAGAGCTGTATCTTTTCCAATGTATAGGACAAAAGAATAATCTTAAAAAAAAGGAATGCCACAGGGAGGAATTTCTCCAATATGTGATAACATAATGATATTCTGTGTTGTACATATCTTGATCCACAGAAACAGAATCTGATACAGTCTTTACACAAGAACCGTGTCCCACTTGGTCCAGCTTCCCCAAGTCAGGTCACAATGTTTTAGGGCATTCCAATGATGGCTTTGCTTCCCCCCACACCCCCCACCCCCATAAAGTACATACAACCATGTTTATATAAATTGACCATGTCTTAAACTGACCATTTCCACCTTTGAGATTTTTCATCTGAGGTGGGGAAAAAGGAAAAACATTACATTTTGGGTATACACACACATACATGCTAAGTCAATTTACCAAGGTGACTTAACTAAGTCAACTTAAGTTTAGCCATGTCAGTGCATACACACATACTGCTCCTTGACATGGTGGCAACCATCTTATGAGCAAAGTCAACTTAAATAATACAACTGAAGATACTACACCTTGGAGGTGTAGTATCTTGTGCCACATTGAAGTCACCTCTGCTCCACATACATGTGTATACTGACAGTTAAGTTGACTTCAAAAAGTTAAGTTAGTTTAACTGTCAGAAAGACAGTATATGCGTATGCACCCTTTAAAATCAAATGTGGCAATATGCTTTCACTTTCTACCAGTCCTATTTTTCTCAAATATTATGTCATTGATCTAAATTTATATGAAGAACTGTAAGCTGTTGGGTGTACTGGCAGTATGGCTCCAAAAATGCCAACCCTAGGTGAAGTGGTGAAAGGCTACAAGGGATGAGCCAATTGATACATGCTTGCCAGTTGTAACAGAGCCAAGATCCAAGGCTCAGATTAGTAGCTTCTTTTGGATTTAGCAGAAAATACTCTGGGTGGAGAAGCAGAGCCTTTGATAATCAAAGGGCATATGAGCTTCTGACACAGCAGTCCCTTAAGTTCAACAGCCACAGACGGGAAGTGTTAACTTGTACCTCTTCGGTATTTCAAAATACTGGTAATAAAAATTCTTGCGACTTAGAATTTTATAGATGTCAGCCTTCTGAGGCTTTTACAGGAAATTCTTCGTTAGGTCAGCCATGGGATGAGCAGTTTGTACCAGAAGTGTTGCTCCCACAGTGAACCATTTTGTGAGATGCTTTGAATAGTAGCAAAAGTAGTATTATACTAACCTGATTTTGCTTATCTTACCTTAAAATTGGCATCCTGTCCAAGACAAGAGCAAGTTCTCAATATAAGTTTATTGTGGAAGGAAATAAATATAGCAAACAAAATTGCTACCAGAAAGTGTAGCACATCTGTCATTTTTAAATGTGACCTGCAACTGTTTAATTGCACAACAAATTTAGTTACATTGGAGAGGCTGTGTAAGAGTTTAGTGAATGGAACAATGACTAAGAAACCTTACACTGTTGTTCTGAGGTAAAAACATAGGAAGTGAGGGTTGGAAGGGACCTCAGGATGTTATCTAGTCCAACCCTTGCTCAGAGCAGGGCCATCCCAGGCAAGGCTTGGTCTACCCAGATCGTAAATACCTCCAAGGATGGAGATTCCATAACTGCTCTGGGTAACCCCTTCTAGTGCTTTACCACACTACTAGTGAGAAAATTTTTACTAATATCTAACCTCAACTTCCCTTGCTGCAACTCAATGTCAGTGTTTCTTGTTCTGTCATCTGTCACCACTCAAAACAGTCTAGCTCCTTCCTCTTTGGTACTACCCTTGAGGTAGTTGAATACTGCAATGGAATCCTCTCTCAGTCTTCTCTTCCACAGACTAAATAAGCCCAGTTCCCTCAGCCCCTTCTCAGAAGTCATGTGTTCCAGCCCCCTCACCATTTTTGTTGCTCTCCAATAGACTCTCTCTAATTTGTCCACATTCTTTCTGTAGTGGGGGGCCCAAAACTGGACATAGTACTCCAGATGTGGCCTCACCAGTGCCAACTAGAAGGCAATAATCACTTCCCTTGATCTGCTGGCAATGCTCCTACTAATGAAGCCCTGTATGCTGTTAGCCTTCTTTGCAACAAGAGCACATTGTTGGCTCACATTCAGCTTCTTGTCCAGTGTAACCAAGATTATTTTCTGCAGAGCTCCTTCTTACCCAGTCAGCCTCCAGCCTATACTAGTGCATGGGACTGTTCCATCCTATGTGCAGGACTTTGTACTTGTCCTTATTGAACCTTGTGAGATTTATTTTGGTCCAATCCTCCAACTTGCCAAGGTCTCCCTAAATCCTAGCCCTACCCTCCAGCATATCTACTATTCCCCCCAGCTTGGTATCATCTGCAAACTCGCTGAGGTTGCACTCCATCCCGTCCTCCAGATCATTGATGAAGATATTGAACAAAGCCTGCCCCAAAACCAACTTCTCTGGCACTCCACTTGATACTGGCTACCACCTAGACATTGAGCCACTGATTATGCTTTAAGCCTAACAATCCAGCACATTTTCTATCTATTTTAGAGTCCATCAATCCAACCTGCACTTCCTTAGCTTGCTTGGAAGAATGTTGTAGGAGACTATCAAAAGCCTTGCTTAAGTCAAGGTATATCACATCTACTGCTCTTCCTGCATCTATAGAACCAGTCATCAGGTTGGTCAGGCATGACTTGCCCTTGGTGAATCCACGCTGACTGTTCGTAATCATCTTCTTTCCCTCCAAACTTGAATGAGTTGTGCCCCCGGCGGCTGGGGGGGGCACAGTGGCAGGGGGAATGTGGCGGCAGGAATGCAGTGACGGTAAGTGGGGGAGCTCCCACAGATGCCACCGGCACTGTCGGCAGCAGGGAAGGAGGGTGGTGAGCGTCGACCAAAGGTCGGCGACCACCCTCAGCCACTGCCAGCAGTGGCGGCAGCAGCAGTGGCCAGCGGGTATCATGGACTGCCCGCAGACAGCGCTGGCAGTGTCGGCGGTGGGTGGCGAGCAGTGACTGCCCGCAGGCACCACCAACAGTATCAGCAGTGCCTTTTTGTATAGGCTGCACTGCCACACTCAGGGGGTGCACATGCACCTGCATGCACCCCCTACTTGTCATCCCTGCCTCCAAGTGCTTAGAATTGGATTCCTTGAGGACTTGCTTCAAAACACTTCCAGTGACTGAAGTGAGGCAGACTGCTCTGTAGTTTCCCAGATCCTCCTTCTTCCCTTTCTTAAAAAGGTGAGCATTATATTTCCCCTTTTCCAATCATCTGGGATCTCTCCCAATCACAGATTTTCAGAGATAATGGTCAGCGACTCTGCAATCACATCAGCCAACTCTTTCAGCACCCTTGGGTGCATCATGTCTGGCCCCATGGACTTATACATGGCCAGTTTTTCTAAATAGTCCCAAGCCCTTTCTTTCACTAGTATTGGCTGCTTACCTCTGGTCCAAACTGTACTGCCAGATGCAGTAGTCTGAAAGCTGACTTTGCCTTTGAAGACTGAGGTGAAAAAGGTATTGAGTATTTCAGATTGCCTCCCTGTAACAGGTTACTTTCCCCAGCACCATCTTCCCTGTTATCTGCGCCCTATGTGGGGCACCCTTAGAGTCTCCTTTAAGGTTTCTTGAGTCCTTTACTCTCCTGCCACGTCTTGATGGAAATTATTATGTTGATGTTCTTGAAAGCAGGAGACTACCTATTGTATTTCATATGTTGAGGTCTTTTGCCTTCACAGGCCTTGACCCCGGTCTTTCTCTAGCTAGGCCTCCCTATCTAAACCCACCAAACAGAGTTTGATTCCAAGGCTATAGCCCTTTTTTGTTCTCTTAAGGCTCATGGCCCTCTTTCCTGCTCCAATCTGGAGCCCGATCTCCCTGGCCCAGAGGCCTAGCCACCAGCCCCACAACCGGGCTGGTGCAAGCTCAAGGCCAGGGAATGGCCTTGCTTAGTCCCACAAAAAAAAAAAAAAATAGTTGCATGTCAGGTGCATCAGAATACCCCAGCCTTTTAAGGTCACGCCTTCTGGCGCCAGGGTCAGTGCACCCCAAAATCCTGCACCCCCACTGGTGCCGGGGCCTATGTACCCCAAGAAGCCACCCCTTCACTGGCACTGGGGTTCCCACTCTGCAGTGGACCCCCAAAATGAGGCCTCCTCTTTCCCCTAATAGCCCCACCCAAACCACCGGAATGATTTAATAAATATGGACAGTCCCGTCCAAGGGCAATAACTGCCCCCCCCCAGTAAAAAAAAAAAAAAACGTGATCAAAGAAAGCCGCATGCTAGCTTACATTTTCACCAGGTTCATGGTTCTGATCCCCACTGTTGGCTTCTTGGGCAGCTGCTGTCTCTCAGGACTTCCATAGTCCCCTCTTCCAGCCTTTGGACCACTTACCAGGCCTCTCCCTGGAGCTCTAAGATGCACTCCTTCCCCCTCAGGTGCTGACCCTTGCTGCTGCTCTCCACAGGGTTTTTATAGTCTGCTGACTAGCTGGCCAGGCTCAGTATTTAACCCCCTCCTTACCAGCATTCCATGCCCAGAAAGTTCTGGCTTTAAAGGGGTGAATCTGTCTTTTGGTGACAGGGCTAGGGTTCCCTGTTACACACTCCCCTCTCTTTTCTTTCTTTGGGGGGTCTTTCTGAAGCCTTGACCTGGCTTCTAGTAACAGGGTTAGGGTTCCCTGTTACACTCCCCCATTTAGCAAGGGATACATACTTTCCCTGATCTTCCTCTTGTTACTGACATATCTGTAGAAGCCCTTCTTGTTACCCTTCATGTCCCTTGCTAACTACAACTCCAGTTGTGCTTTGGCGTTCCAGATTTCATCCATATATGCCCAAGCAATACTTTTATATTCCTCCCTGGTTAGTTGTCCTCATTTCCACTTCTTGTAAGCTTCCTTTTTTGTGTTAGCTCGCTAAAGAGTTGCCTGCTAAGAAAAGCTGGTCTTCTGCCATACTTGTTAGTCTTCCTATGCATCAGGATGGTTTGTTCTTGCTCCCACAGTAAGGTTTCTTTACAATACATCCAGCTCTTCTGGATCCTTTCCCATTCAGGCGGGCCTCCCAGGGGATCCTGCCAATCAGTTCTGTGAGTGAGTCAAAGTCTGATTCCACTGTGGCTCTGTATCAAGAGTTTCTGTACCAAGAGCTTGTCCAGACAGCCATGTCTGATTAATAATTCTAATTTATTCCCATCAAAAATTCTAACAGATTAACCAGTTAGAACTCTATGACAAATTTCACAGCCCTTTTTCCATTGCGGAACCACATAAAAGAGCTCTGGGTCAAAAAAATGCATTCATTTAGGACCGAGTCTACCAGCAGTCCTCTGATCACCAATAAAACAAGAATAACACCCCTGTTGCCAGACTCTCTTTTTTAAGTGGGTGGCCATGAATTCAGTGCTCTATTCTCCCTGTCATATATTAATTTTCAATACTGTGTAGAAGCTACACCATCTCTAGCAATTAGTCAATAGTCTGGACTTCTGCCTTGATAACTGTACTTGATAGAAGCTGATGTACATGGTTCTGTTCAGTGCTGGCAAGTAGGTCTATGTGAAGCTTCAGGTGCTGATTTGATCCAGAGGAGATTCAGCCTGATTCAGTGACTGAATCTCTGAATCTGAATTGTATCAAGAGACCAATTAAAAGGTCCAGATCAATTAGAAGCTCTCCAAATTGATTCACAAAAGATTTGGAGAGCTTCGGTGATTCAGGCAGTCCCTGCTCAGTGCTGCAGGGAGCTGGACCCAGACTCCATGCTGGTAAGTAGGGGGCAGAGGAGGGGAGGCTGGAGGAGACAATGGGAGGACCACTGCCAGACTCCAGCCCCTGCCTGCTCTCTCAGCCCCACTATGGCTGCCCCACCCAGCCCCAGCTCCCAGTTCTTTAAGAAAAAGCCCCCATTCGCTGGCTGCTGCCAGGTGGGGGGGGCTATCCCGCTGCCCCCCACTGCCCCGCACTGTGTGGGCGGCTCTGCCACAAGCCCCCC